ATAGAACTTGAAAAGCAATATTTCAACATTGATATTCATATCAAATATAGGAAGTATAATGATAAGCATTATGCTTGTATAGAAATTTTTATTTATTTATTTATTTATTTTATTAAAAAGAAAAACAGTAGAAAAAAGAAAGAAATATGATAAAAAATTTGATTGACATTGATAAGAAAAGTTTATTTGCCAAACTGTTCGAACGTATTGGACAACAGTTATAATCAGGTATTGGCGACAATATTTCATTCAAAAAGTTTCGATATACTATTCGATTAAATAATGGTTGTGGATGACGATAATTTCCCGTATGAATATTATTTCGAAGAGCATGTATTCCACGTTCATGAAAAATAACAGGTGTTTTGAACACAGTCCAAGTAATACCTTCAGTACACGGTGGTGTTGTCAGCGAACCTCCATAACGCCAAAAATCATCTAGATTACTTCCCATCAACGAAGCTAAGTTTAAATTCAGTACAACTGAATTATTTTTCTGTGTTAAATTTGCAACTGCTTGAAAATAGTTGTTCCATTCAGTGATTGTTATATTTTCAGTACTATAGATATCATCGCGTCTTTTTCGTGTACGGATCGTTTGATTTCTATGTCGTGTACTATTCATAAAGATACCAAGTACAGCTACTGCTTTTGTTTGAGGATTAATATGAACAAAATGAACTTCACTTGGATATTTTACATCATTTCTAAATAAAAGAAAAATAAATTTGATGAATAAAAAAAGATTTGTTAAAGATCAATTTACATTTGGTGTTCACTGCCTGTTCTATGATTTTCACCCCAGTGAAGATGAAAATTATGAAGTCGAAATGTTCCGTTCAAACCACCTCCAGTCAAATTGAAAGGTGATGAATCATTTCCATGGTATGTACCAACAACCGTATGTCCATTATTTAAAAGTGTAAAGTCATGCTGTAGATTGTAAGCTGATGAAAAATCAAAAGGTGTAAATGTTCGATAAACAGTACATGCCGTTTTTATGATGATTGGTGATTGAGAATATCTACCACATGATTCATGTGTCTCACTCCAAACATGGGACCCTGATTCATGATAATTCCAATTTTCATTAATTGTTTGACAAACAATAGTCAACAATAATGAGATAGAAATAAAGAACTGCAATTGACGATACATTTTAATATTTGAATTCGTTAAAGTAACTTACTACATACAAATGAGTGAGCTTATATATCGTATGTTAGAGAGAAAAAATCAAAACAAGGGGCAAAGCAAGAGGAAAAGGGTGACTTTTAGTCGTATTTTGAATTTCGTTTGCACTGGATAAAATTAGATTTTTTTGTCGTTGAAAAAATAACAATCATTATTGAGGACAAATCAGTGTGTCACTCTATTTTGGTTATATATCTTTTAATGAGAAACAAGGCGTTCTCAGGGGAAAAGAACGTATATACAATAAATAGAGAAAGAAGCAACAGAATGATATTATGTGCGAAATATAAAAGTTTCGTGGCTTCATAATAATGTATAATTAGAAATTTGCTAAAAGGTTTCGTACGTAGAAAACCTGCATATATGAAGCCAGTCAAGAAATTGCAATCTAATTTATTTGCCAAGACAAATATGAACTTAGGAGTTGTTTTTGAATAAACATCAAAGATCAAATATCTCGCCTATAAAACAAAATCAATACTATCGATTTCAAATTTGCCGCATATATCTTATATTTGTATTATGGGGTATGGTGTGGATAGGTGTGGGAGTAGTTGTTAAATAGGATAAGATTCGATCTCACACTCATTCACCCATCCACATAAAAAATTCGTTATTCTTTATTCTTTATCAATGTTTCTTTAAACATAAAAAGGTAACATACAGTATTTTTCTTGTGTTCTCAGCTACTCTGTACTAAGCTGAGTTGAAAGATGTTAATTGATAATTATAAAAATTTTCAAAGTTGGCCTCTTTGTAGATAAAATTTGATAGTATTCAATATGTATGCTCTGCTGTCGCTGATTCTTGATGATTTTCGAAATCTAGTGGGTAATAGCTAATCAATCATGCTGATTCTGAATATCAATACGAAACAAGCAGCTCGGATTCCAGAGACCCGTTTTCTGTAAAAATTTTTCATCAAAAACATTTTTGATCCATCTGAATTGTAGAGCACGCTGATTTGACTACAAAACAATATTTTTTCCGTTTGCAAATCATGACTGATGTAACCAGAAACGATCCTTTCTTTTCCAATCTGGTTTTGATATTAAAAAATGTTCGTCCCTTTTTTCTCGCTTTTCTAAAGAAATGCGTTTGAAAAATAAGTGTCTTTTGGATTTATAGAAGCTGTATCTGAAGAATTTAATACAGGTTAGTCATTGTTACTTTTCTAGAAGCATCAGTGAAGCCTGAAATACCGCTCTCCTCAGAAAAAAAACAATAAGAGATTGTAAATTTCTTGGATCAAATAATGAATGGTAGGTATAATGTGCACTTGGTATATTATCAAAACGAGTTGCTAGCTAGTGAATACACAACAGGACTATATATTTGAAATGAACAAAAGTTATTTACTCATATGCATTTCGTTGTGAAGACGACAGCATGAAATAAATAATAGTATTGTTGCATTTTTAGAAACTCTGCTAGTGCTAGACTTCTCTGGAGTCGATTAAAGGCTGATAAAATAGTGTTTTAGAGGCAATTCGATGTGCTCCATAATCTGAATGGATCAAAAAAGTTTTTAAGAAAAAAAATTTCTTACTAAGAAAAGGAAACTCTGGAGTTGTAGCTATTAGTCTCGAATTGATATTCAGAATTAGTATGGTCGATGAACTAAAATCTACTAGATTTAATGAAAAAAGAACTTAGACAATTAGGGACTGAAACACGTCAATAGTTTTCTATGACAATTTTAGAAAACAGATCAATATACATGAAGCTCTTACTTATGAAATAACGTGAAACGATGACTTTGTTGGAATTAAAATGCTTCAGTTCATCAGTAAGATTAGAATAATTTGCAGCCAGAAAAATACTTTCCATATAAACTGATTCAAGAATGAAAGATTTGACATTGTTATGAATTCTTGGTAATATATCAATACAAAATCGATCTTTTATTGAGTCAGAAATTGAAGAAATCTCATTAGTTGATAATGACATGGAAACAAAATTAAGAGTATTAGTAAAGATTTGTTCTTGTGCTATAATGTCAAGTGGTTGATTATTGAGACCAAGTAAAGAATAATGAACATCAATATTATCAAGTCTTTTCAAAATGAGAAGTAATATTTCATTGG